CCCCCCTGAGCAATTTAGTTGAATAGCCCTGCCCTATAGTTTAAAATGAACTATGATACAACATGCTTCCAGGTGTAAGGTACAGTTGTACTATTTTAGATATTATCAGAGTCAGAGTCAGAGTTTCTTTATTGTCATTCGCACCTCATGTGGTACATGTGGTGGAGCGAAATTATGTACACGGGGTCCCAGTTACATCCAACAATAAAATGTATAAGAAAAACAGTAATAACATCTAAGATATTAACTAAGAAAAACATCAACTAAATATACACAAATAAATCATAGCTGAAACGGCAGAAAAGGGTGAAACTTGCAGAAATAAGCTGAAAGGAGCATAACAAGCTGAAATTAGCAGAAAGAAGTTAAAAGAAGCACAAAAATGTAGTTAGCAGAAATAATTTAAAAGGATCTCAAAACAGCTGAAATTGGCTGAAAGTAGCTGAAAAAATGTTTAATTCTGCACAAGGAAGAAGCTGAAGCAGATCAAAATGTGAACGGAGCAGTTAAAGTTTCTAAACAGATCTAAAGATATGAAGGATGTAAAATGAGCAATTCATTTTCTATGAGGGGGAAAAATGGCATAAAAAAGGCTAAAGATTTCAAAAAGCTAAAGTTGCACCAATACCAAGCACGCTGAATGTTTTGATATATGATTTGTTGAACTAGCACAAAAATTGTGCAACGAGAAAGATGCTGAAAAACGTATGAATGCAAAATGGATCACAATAGAGTGAATGCTTCATAAACATTCACACAATAAACATATCTGATATCATAATTTGGTCCCTTATTGATTGATATTTTTGTGTTTTCTAAGAAATGTAAAATGTTCCTCTCCCTTCACTGTATAAACTTTCTACTTTTGTTGGTTGTGCTTCTTGTTTCCAGATTGATCCCAGCGGGGAGGTGGTGGTGTTCTGTCAGGGTGGGTGTCCCTGGAAGGAGCATCTGTTTGCACTGGAGATAGAGCTCCAGGTGGACACCCCCATTAAATTTGTCCTATATTCAGACCAGAATGGACAGTGGCGGGTTCAGTGTGTTCCTGCAGGTCTCCACACGTTCCAGAACAGGTAATTTTATTTCAGCACCAAAAGTCAAAACTCCCCATTTCATCTCAATTTTTTTAAGTTGCTAAGGGTCATTGAAAGGCAGTTTTGTTTTGAGAGGTTCAGTTTTTGATCGTACATCTGGAGGGCACATCTTTTAGATGTCAACTTTTGCAGACATCAAAAATGCAGCACTCGTAGGAGTGTTGTGACACACAGAAAATATTCCCATGGGAACCGTTTTAAACAGAGGTCGAAAACACAGCGACAGGCATATCTCCAGTTTTCTACACGTGTGGAACCGAGTTAAGTCGTACTGGCACAGACAAACCGGGGAGTGTGGTTTAACTTTGAAGCTTACTGGACCATTTGACAGCTACTTACTGAGCATAAACATGTTATCCAGTGAGGGAACATCTCAAGTTACGAGGATAGAAATCCTTTCTTTTTTTTACCTGTTTGTTTGCTGAACACTTTAGTCATGGCAGCGGTTTTGTTCTCACACTGTTCTCTAAGGAGCTAAAAAGATGTAAACACACTCTACAACACACACTACACTCGAACACAGCCACCTGAGTCCTTTTTTCCACACACACTCATGTTTTTTTCCTTCTGCCATCCGACTCTTAATTAGACCCAGTGCTTCAAATAAAACAAGGTGACACACTGAATGTTTGACAGATGCTTTTACTTACAGCTTCTGCTCGCACACTTCAGGATTTTCATTAATATTAATGAACGTGGGATTCATGCTCTGTTGAATGACTCGGTCCCTTCTATGAAATTTACATATATTACACCATTATCTGCTCATCCTTTTTCAGAAAGTAAATGTGATTTAGACGATTCAAAAAGTTCCACTATTTTTTTTAAATGCAATGATCAGAATAGTAGTTGTGATGTACAAATGTGCTGAAGTTAAACAGAAATAATTTTATGTTGTCAAAGTAGAAAATTAATACTGCTTAGCTTTGTTTGTGAACCGAAAACAACACAGCAATAGCAACATAAGGCTAACATCAGAGCAACACTTCAGCAGGTAAATTAGGATAGAAACAAAAGTATCCCAGCCTAATTCAATTAATAACTTAATAATTTTATTTTTTGCGATTGCTCCTACAATAAGCTCAAAACACTTACAGCAACAGTACATCAGTAATATTTACCCTTGTCAAGCATGTTGGTTTTGCGTGTTTGCATGTTTTTGAATACACAATATTAACCCTTAGAATAGCTTTTTAAAATCTGTAAATCCTGCCGACGTCACCAGAACATCTCCCACTAAGGAAAGTGGCTTCTTGTGTGACCTGGTGTGCTAGCACAAAAATCTCATCAAGTTTTTTAAGGTTCTGTTAGATTAAGCGTGAGGGCCCTAAAGTTCAAGCCTGACTGCCCTTCAGATGGTCAGTAAGTCAGACTGAAATTGTTGGTGGTCAGGTCAAAGGATGGTTTGTCTTGCTCTTTGACCTTCAATTGAGCTATTCAAAGTCAAAGTTTCTTTGTCATTCCCACCTCATGTGGTACATGGGGTGGAACGTAATTGTGTACACAGGGTTTTAGTTAAATCCAATAAAAGTATAAATTGTAAAGAAAAACGGTAATAAGATCTAAGATATGAACTAAGAAATACACTAAACTAAGAATACACTAAGCACTGATAGTACAAAAACAATACGCCGAACAACAGCAGCACAAACATGAGTCTGTGTGAGTAGATGAGTACGACTGAACACAGCAGCATGAAATAAATCAGCAGCATAAGATCAGCAGCATGGACAATCAGCAGCGCATATCAACAATCGAGTGACATTACAGTGATTTTTTTTATTTTTTTTGTGATTATTCTGGTTAGGGATTCATGAGTCTAACAGCCTCAGGGTAGAAGCTGTTCCTCAGTCTAGTGGTTCTACACTTAATGCTCCGCAACCTCCTTCCTGAGGGGAGCAGGCCATAAAGTGTGTATGCTGGGTGAGTGGGGTCCTACATGATGCAAGTGGCTCTCTTCCTGCATCTAGAGGTTGTAGATGTCTGTGATGGTGGGGAGCATGGGCGTCAGAAGCATCTGTAATGTGTGGGGGGGGGGGCACTATAGTGTATGTGTGTGTGTGTGTGCACGCATGTGTGCGCGTCCATGTGTGCACGTGCGTGCACGTACACCAGTGTGCAAAAAATTGTAGTGTACAAAAAAAGCAACATTTCTTCTAGGTTTCCTTACTTTAATTCCATTTAAAGCATGTTTCTCACAAAGTTTGTGTAAATGCAGCTGTTTTTAAAGACATTTTAACTTTAATGCACTTCAGGTCAGCACTATATGTGTTTATGGAGAAGTAAAAAACATCACCAATAGACTTTTTTACTTGTGTTCAACACTACTCATCTAAATGATGTTTCTCATGAAGCTTGAGGACAATAAGGTGTGAGGGTTTAAAGACATTTCAACTTTAATGCACCTGAACACACAGCGTCTCTTACACCTGCAGCGTCTTACAGCATCTCAGTTACAGACGTAGCACTCCTCTCAAGCATCCTCCTAACATGAATATATGTTTATGATTAACCCCCTGGTCAACAACTGCCCGCACAAAGCTCGCTAAACTGGCGAGCGAGTAACACAGAGGTGTCTCCATCTCCTCCACCTGTGAGCGATCTCAGCCGAGGCAGGAGGAGACGTAAATAAGAAAGACTGCAGGTTGTAGACTGGTGGAGAGTTGGAGGTAACCAGGAAAACCTGGAGTGGAGTTTTAGTGGCCTGAGTATTCTCCTATTAAGTGGAATGGATTTGTTCATGAAGAAAGAGAAACTGCGCCAACTGAAATAATGTTTCATAGTAAAAGTGTGTGTGTGTGTGTGTGTGTGTGTGTGTGTGTGGGGGGGGTCCAAATGAACATTTTTTGAATGTCGGGGGGGGACTTGTCCCCTTCACATATAATGGTTGCGACACCTATGGTGTGGAGGCTGACTCCAGTGGTCTTTTGGCATTGTTGTGAGTTTCAACATCACATCATTTGTTGTGAGTACATTGTTGCTTTCAAGAGTTGTAGAAACATTACTTTGCAATGAAGAGAAATGTTTTGTTTATTGGAGAGTATTTTTCTTACATTTTGCATATTTTTTTTCTCAAAACATTAGCATTTAGCCCCTCATTTATCACATTAGTGCATTTTATTTTATTTAATGTTTGTGTTAATTTTCCAACTCTTGTCATTTACTCTGACCTGCATTTGTTCTGTATTTAGTCTTATTGCTTCACGCCAAGGGTCCAGACCCTTCCACTGGTATTGTTTAGCATTTCTGCATGTCTTCATAATATTGAAATCTTGAACCCTTAAGCCCAGAACCTCAGTGAAAGCTGCATCATCCATATTTATTGAACCATAGTAGCATTCTTGTCTTGTCACACTGAACGTAATGAGAGTGACGAAGGCGCACAAGGCTTCAGTTGATTAACACCAGACTTGCTTTTCTTACTTCTGGAGCAAAAATGTTCACCTGGAAAACCTCTTTTTGTCCAACTTAAAGTGATGCTCTGAAACTGTCATCATTGTACCCAGTGGAGTTGTGCGGTTGTTGTGTTGTTTCACTACCTCTTTAAATCTCAGAATATAGCCAACACACACTGTTTCCACGATAACTCCAGCACTTCTTCCATTCTAAGTATTGCTTGCTCAAAACTGGAGAGCACCACTTGGGTTCAGTTTAATTAAATTCACATTATTTTCTGTTTAGTACATAACTTATTAGATTTATTATTAAACAGAAAAATAACACAGAACAAAGGTTTTATTTAATTCTAATGGATAACGATTGCATTATTGTGATCTATATATATATATATATATATATATATATATATATATATATATATAT